TGTGACTGTCTGTCTGTCTCCTCGCTGTTCCCTCCATATGTTTGTGTGACTGTCTGTCTGTCTCCTCGCTGTTCCCTCCATATGTTTGTGTGACTGTCTGTCTGTCTCCTCGCTGTTCCCTCTATATGTTTGTGTGACTGTCTGTCTGTCTGTCTGTCTACCTCCAGCTTTCCCAACAAGCAGAAGAGCCACGAGGCCCCATCAGCCATGAACTCCAACGCGGGCAGCAACCTGACGGAGCTCGACCGACTGCTGCTAGAGCTGAACGCTGTGCAGCAGAGCACGCCCTGCTTCCCCACCACAGGTATGGCTGCGGGTGCCAGGGGCCCAGAGAATCTTACTGGGATGCTGTGTTTCCATGTCATCATAGTAACACTGCCATTGCCTTTATTGCGATTGTTCATGATAGTATCAGAAAAATAGCATAGTAGTTTTGCCAGTAATCCCTGTTTTTCCATCACACTCAGCTGAATTTTTAGTGAAGAATAGCAATAACGGTAAAGATATATTTGCGAGAATGCATACATTTTTCAATGATTTTACAGCAGACAGAAGCCAGGTAATACTATGGGTTGGAAGGACCAGGACCGGCAGACTCTGTCGTATTTATCTTAATGTCTCTGTGGTCTCTGCCCTTAGAAGAGGCCCCACCCCCTTTGCCATCCATCAGCACCACCTACTACATTCAGGAGAACGGAGGCTCCACCCCTGTCAAGTCAGCTCCGCCCACCACAGAGAAACCCAGCCGCAACGGGGCCCGCAGCGTCGATGAAGTACGGCCCAGTGTGGAGAGCCTCCTGGATGAGCTGGAAAGCTCCGTGCCCAGTCCCACGTAAGCACTGTGACCTTTGACCCTTGCCCAGCATGCCCTGCACAGCAGGCCCACTGAGGATTGTTTGGCTATGACTCATCCAGCCTCTGAAGCCACACTCGTTTAAATATGGGATAAGTTTGGCACAGAATAGGAATTTTGGTAGTATGACCAATGGAACTGTTTTAGACAATGAGTCCGCAGGGACACCTGCCTGCCTGTCAGTACTGAAAAGCTGCAGTCTTCAGCTGGCTAGCCGTTGTCACCATAGGCTTGTGGGCTCCCTGCTCTGTCACTTGACCTGGGCAGTTAGCAGTCGGCTGAGCGGTTGCAGAGTTTCTGATGTCCTGGCTCTCTGGGCCATTCTGTAGGCCCGGAATCCTGGAGGTGCGGGGCGAGCCCCCAGACGACGGCCAGGAGACCCCTGCCCAGCAGCAAGCCCGGATCTCCGCCTCATCCGCCACGAGGGAGCTGGATGAGCTCATGGCCTGTCTTTCCGACTTCAAGGTGCCGAGCAGCGTGTGTGTGAATGGGGAGCCGGGGTGTGTGTGTGTGTGTGTGTGTGTGTGTGTGTGTGTGTGTGTGTGTCTGCGGTTTGGCCTACAGCCACGTTTGCCTGTTTCTTGTCTGCTTCTCTGGGATTCCAGAAGGTTTTCCCTTATCAACATTCAGCTCAGGGAATTTCCTGGAAATACCACCGGTACTGGCAATTTATTGGTGACTGAAATGTAGGGGGTGTTGGTCAGAAGGCTCCAGAAAGTCCTGGGAACACAGCATCTGGCATTTCAGGGAAGGCCAAGGGCCGGTGCATGTTAGTGCTGCAGCTGGCTGTGGGATCGAAGGCACTTTTTTTTTTGCCTTCCTTGAGGAGCCTGACAGGAGGCGCCTGGTGATTGGTCAGGCCTTTGAGGTGACATCGTCTCCCCATCCAGCTTTGGGTTTGACCACCATCCTTATTAGGTTAATTTTTCAGATTTGTTCTGTGGTTTCCAGTAGGAGTAACTGAGCTATGTTTGAGGTATATTACATGTATTAAATAATACTCTATTTATCCTGCGTTTTCAACCAAGGTAGAAGTATCCACATGCTAATAATTCACAGTATTTGGATTAGGAGATGAGATAAGGTTTTGTAATTGAATGAGCCCCCTGTCTAACCCTAACCCTCCTCTCCATGACATACATGCAACACCTAACTGTACATAAATCATGTGAACAATTTAGGATTGGTGGACACATTATTTTTGGAATATAATTGCTTTCAGTTCCTCTTCAGTTGCTTTAGAGAAAAGTGCAGGTTTGATGCTCGTTGGACTGTGAGTCACCGTTGTTGTCCTTTTACCTGTGGAAGTGGTAGATCTTCCCCTAACAAAGCTGTCGGTCAGCCTGATTTCTAAAGTTAAATTGTCACATTCGATACATTTGGTGCAAGCAGGAGAAAATCCATTTTCTTTTCTTGTTTTATTTGCTCCTGTTTCTGTCCCCATGTTTCCTTTTTAATGTATTTTCTCCTCTTTTCCTTTCCCTTCATTTCTCCATTTCTTTTCTCCCTCTCCTTCCTGCTCATCCTTCAGCCCACTTCACTGGCGTCTCTTGGCATGGATTCCATGCCTGAACAGGCCTTTACCCCCCCTAGTGCCCTTTCTGCCCCCTCGTCTGCCAGCCTAGTCCGTCAGCCTGCCCGCGATTTGCCCCTCCGTCCCCACCCAGGGTCCCTGGAATTCTTGCACATTGAAGAGGAGGGGGTGGTGGATGTGGAGGGCCCAGCTCTGGCCCCCGCCTCGGCCGCCTCCCGGGGTTCACCACTCTCACGCTCCCCCATCCCTAGAAGCAAAGAGCCCGAGAGCGATGCCATTATTGACGTTTCGGCCTCCATGCTGCTCTCCCGCCTGGAGTCGTTGGTGGTTCTTTCAGACTCCGTGGCCCCTGCTCGCACTGTCGCAGGTCCCAGCAACCTTCCCGGTGACGCCGCTCTCTCTAAAAGCCCCGTTGACTCCACAGTTCCCCTTGTTACTAAAGCTTTTAGTGTTCCAGTCTATCCAGCTGCTATGAGCCCCATTTCCCAGCTTGAGTCCTCGCTTCCCGTCGCTTCTCTGAAGTCTCCAGTCCCGCCGGTCTCTTCGAGCGCCGCATCCCGCACTCCCCCCCCCGTCCCGACTTTTAAGTCTGAGCCCTCACCTGCCCCTGGTGTCTCTGACGCACCAGCAGTCGGCAAGCAGCCAGCGTGTGCAGTGGAGCCCAGGGTAACGCACCCTGCCGCCCAAGAACCCTGGTTGGATGAGGCCCTGGATAAGCTGCTGTCTGTGAGCTTTGCAGCCTCGGAGATGCCGGTGGAGCCGTTGCAGGAGATACATGAGGCACCCATGCTGGCTATGGACCGGAGGGACGTACTGCCTGATATGTACACTGGGACGGAGGGTTTAGAAGCAACCGCGGCGACAGAGTACGGGAGAGAGCTGCTGGACTGGGTGGAGCTGGAGCTAAGGGATGAGATGGATGCGATGGACACCAGCTGGATGGACACCTACCCTCCTTCCACGCCGGAAGACCAACTCGAGCTGCCCCTGCTGCAGCCGTCAGCCGTGGAGAGGGTGTCTGCTTCTGGCCACGTATGGTGCCGCCCGGATGCCCGTTTCGTGCCTGCAGTCTGACATGAACTCACAGCCGCTTGCGTGGTGAGGCTGCGTTTGCCATTATATAATAATAACACGCCGGGTCAGGTCCTCTCCAAAATTATCCCCGGTCACTTGGATCCACTTTCCTAAGTATGACACGTCTGTCCCAGCAGATGCCATGGTCTATATTTGCGTGTGGATTATATCCTGGCAGATAGGAAGCATGCCCTGCACTGTCACACAGCACTACCCCCCCTTGCCCCCCCGCAATCTCCCCCGACATGGGCATGTGTGCCTTTGTTGGTTTCCTTGAGCTGGGAAGGTCTTATTCTGTTTAGTTTGGGGTTTCTTATGCCTTTATGCACATTCACAGTGTATGGCATCTGCCCGGAACAGGATCCCCACTACTGCAAATGCTCAGAGATCTCGCCAGTCTTCCATGGTGACATCATCAACACATGGTGTCTGGAGCCACTAATAGGCTAATCCCCAGAGGCCACCTCTGTTGAGTTCATGGTGTCACACACACCGTGTTTGTCCTAGGACTCTGCCAAGTCCAAAGCACTGCTCATCTCCATTGATTCGAGGCAGAATCACGCCCGTTTTTTACATGGCTAATGTGGGCTCCGAATGGGTTTGAAATGGAGGAATTACCGCATGATTTTGGATGACCTGTGCTTTTTTTTCCCGCCCCACTAACTTGTCAGGTTTGAATTTCCGTATATTTCAGCCACAACCCCCACCCACATTTCCCTGCGCTTTACTGTACTGGTTTGGAGGAGGCTGTCAGTATGATGGGGGGGGGGGCTGAAGCTCAAGCACGTGAGCACTGCATGGCTGCCGTGTAGGACGCACCTTAAGCTGTGTTCCAGCTGTGTTTCCTAACTGTGTCGGTACGCCGCTACGACAAGTGCCACAGATCGATCTGGAAAGGAGTCTGTTTGACACAAGCACCTGATGGCACTCTGACAACCTAGATCAAGTCTGTGATCTGCCGTACCAAAGAGACGTCCAACGTGCACCCCATGTTCCGCGAGGGCCACCCTCGGCGCAAGATGGGTCCCCTCATCTTCCACAAGAACAGCTCCCAGGACAAGCTGATCGAGGAGCTCCAGGGAAAGCTGGGAATTGGGCGCAAGGAGCGTCGACCGAGGCTGCAGGATGACTGGCTCACCGAAGGCGTTGTCGTCATGTCCAGACCTCACCGCACTCGCGAGGAAAGCTCAAGCATGGAGGTGGATAAGGTAGCAGCTGCTGTAGGATGATGGAAGCTCTAACTAGTGCAGGTTTGATCATGGTTAGCCTATGGTGCTAAGGATACAGTCAGCCACATTTCCGTAGCCATCAATGTTCTTAGTCGGTCTGCTATCTTCCCTCTTATTTCTGCTATCTTTGCTTTTCTTCATGTGATCTTTCTGTTGTTTCCCCCAGATTATTATCCCACCAGAATCTCCTGTTCCACAGAGGAAAGTCCTCCCCCCTCCACAATCCCCACCACCCCCTCTACACCAACCTCCTATCGCAGAGCCAAAAAGGCCTCCTCCTGTGAAACAGGCTCAGCTTCCTGTGCCTCCACCTCCACCTCCTCCCCCGTCATCGGTCCCTCAGCCTCTCCCCCCCAAGCCACCAGCACCGGCTTTGCCCCAGAACTCCCCCAATCCTTCTAGCCCACCCAGCCCCCCAAAACAGCCCCTGCCACCCCCTTATGTCCCCAGACCAGCAGAGCCCCCAGTCCCTGTCTCCACAGCCCAGCCTCCTCATCACCCATTGGTTCAACCTACTCCTGCTGCCCCCAGGGTCCTGGTGTCCACTGCGGTCCAGACTGAGGAGGACGCTCTGTTTCCTCCAATGCAGGCATGGGACTCTGCCTTCCTCTACCCTGTCCTGATGGGCTGCACGTTTGAGTGTCAGCGAAGCCAATAAGTGCTGACAAGCATGTGTAGACTTTTGATCACTGGCAGTACTTATTTTCTGTGTGGAGCCCTCTACTGGTTGGGGATATAATATGTATCTCATAAAAAGACATTTAGAAGTCTGTGTGAGAAACCACTTTTTGCTGTGAAGGCAAGACGAAATGCAGCAGATCAGCAGCTGAACTGAAAAACCCCCTGATATTTAAGCTGCACATGGAATGTGATTCAAAGTGACCATGTGACTCTGTGCTGTCACTAGGAAGGAGCGTGGAAGTGAGACAAAGCTGGTGGGGTATTTTTAGGGGAATGGAACCCAGTGTGGGCGCATGAGTCAGGCCGGGGGGCTAGGGCCGGGGGGCTAGGGCAGGGGGGCTAGGGCCGGGGGGCTAGGGCCGGAGGTGTCCGTGAGGTGGCAGAGCATCTACCCAGGCAGCTCCCCACTTCGTGTTCGGCTCTATGATATCTATCGATTCTCTTCTTCCTCTTATTATTTTTATTACTACTACTGTTATTAAATAGCATTTCATTTCACTGCCAAGTCAACTTAAATTCACCACCATCAAACAAGCGGATTGTAGCTACACTGCTCCCTGCAATCGGTGGGCGGGGGGGCTTTGTAATGCTGACCCAGACCCCCGAGCGCCAAAGGAAACTCATACGTACAAAGTAGCTCGGCATTCCTGCTGAAACGGCATGTCCTGCTATTCCTGCAGTAAAGATGCATATTCTGGTAAATCAGACATCCGCTGTGTGTCCATTCATTATTTATCAGGCGGTTTGACTTCTCTGTGTGTGGTTTATGAATGTAGTGTGTCTGAACTTATCTACAGTGACTATTTATAGGATTTCACATCTGAAACAAATGCCATTACTGTAGGTGGCACATTCCCGATGGAGCAAGCACAGTATCTGTGGTGAAGGTCTGATCCGTTTATGCGTTCGGAGTCCTGCTGAGTGTGTTCAGCCTGCGGGGCGTGAGCCGTGTGTGAGAAGCACACATCTGTTGTGTAACTAACAAGGCAACTCACCCCAACCCTCCCGCCCACAGATCATGGCCCAGGGGAAAGGTGCAGGATCCCCAACCGGCAGCAGCGGCGCCCCCCCCAAAGAGGTCAACAAGCTGGACAACATGCTGGGTAGCCTGCAATCAGACCTGAACCGGCTGGGAGTGCGGACTCTAGCCAAGGGCGTGTGTGGGGCCTGCAGCAAACCCATCGCCGGCCAGGTGAGGCCGCCGCTTTGAGCCTACACAGACTGACAGACATACAGACAGACGGAGAGACAGACACGCAGACACGCAGACAGACACGCAGACACACAGACAGACACGCAGACACACAGACAGACACGCAGACACACAGACAGACACGCAGACA